ATTTTTTAATTTCTTAAAATTAATCTAACAATATATAATTTTAAATATTATAACTAATTATTTAAAAAAATTTAAACCAATAAAATAACAGTAAAACCACTGTTTTTAGATCCAGCCCGACTTGGTCAGTTGAACTAATTCAACCGGATTTAGGCTTGAAAATGGGCTACTTACATACTTCAGCCCATTTTGAGATTTTGCCCATTCTAACCCGTTTGACCTACTCCACCTGCTCTAACCGTTCCACCCACCAAACTACACCTATCATCTAGGGATGTCAACAGGGCCCCGCGAGGCCGGGGAGTCCCTCCCCGTCCCCATTCCCGTGAATCACGGGGACAGGGATCCCCGTGGGGATTTTTTGCGGAGAGCAGATTTTGCCCCCCGTCCCCGTTCCCCGCCAATTAATCTCATCAATAACACCACCCGACTCATTTACCAAACAAGAGATCATATTTCAAATAGAAGCATTCATTCATTTTTTGACCAATCAATTCATTTACCAGACACAAACAAAGATATCCAAGACATAGGCATATAGCATTCCGATCCAATGAAGGACTATAATGAACTAAGATTTTATGAAGAATAAAGGAAATAACGACAAAGAAGCACCCAAATCTTCTAGTATCTACGCTTTGCCAAAGTTACTTAAATTCCAATTTGTTACACAGTTTGGTTGCTAAGAAAGCTAAAGAAAAAGGAAAGAAATTTGGATTCAAGTTTAGAAAATCTTGAAAAGTTCAAACATTTTACTAGAAGAATCGGAGAAATGTAACATTAATGGCACTAAGAGAGTTGATTACTCCAACATAATCAAAAGGAGAATCAATAAAACAGAAAGGCTTGCTTTCTTTTCTTTTCCGCAGGTTTCTCTCCAACCAAACAGAGCATTAAACAAACACATTAATAAAAAATCAAAAACCTTTAAGATTAAATGTTAAACTCCAAGAACTGGAAGAAAACCATATTTCAGGGAAATGAAATCTACCAAGCTTTGCAAGAATCTTTGAGGTGGCAATCCACAGAGAAGAAGGAGGCGGAGGAGGAACCATGGCCGATGGAAGCTGGAGAGGACACAGCGTATCAAAGAACAGTGGTTGTGATTTGGCGATCTCAACTCGAAGAACTCGAAGAACACGGCATATCAAAGAACAACAGCCTAAGTCTCCCCATTATCAGCGTTCTCAACTCGAAGAACGCCTGCAAGGATCTTCACGCACTTGTGCGCCACAAGAGCACAAATCTGGCGCACCACACTCAGGCTTCCGTTCACCATCCCAACCTTCCTCCTCGTTTTACCTCCCTTCTTCCCGCCTGTGGCCATTTTCTTCTGCGGTGCCTTCCTGCCACAGATCGAACCTGATGTAGGATTCTTCACACTGTAATCAAGAGATAGCACCTTCTGGAAGCAGGGAAAGGAGGATGCCAGTTTGAGAATTGAGACTTGAAGCCGATTGTCGAGCCGTTGGTGAAGAGGTGGTAAGGAGGGCCGGAAGGGAGAGGTTCAGGGACAGGAGAATGGGGCAGAGGGGAGAGGAAGGTTGAAGGTGAGAGTGAGTGAGGAGAGATAAGTTAAGGCTAGGGTTAAGAAGTTTGGGTTGGGCTAATTTTTATGGGCTGGGTTGGGTGAAATAAAATTGGGTTAAGTTTAATTTTTATTGGATTGGGTTT